GCCACCCAGGTGCCCCCTAGGTTATTTTTAGTCAACATTAAAAATAGGTATTTCTTCAAAGATCTAGTTATGTCACCAAGAACCACTATTTCTAAACAAAAGGGAAAATTCTTCTAGAAAGACAGAAGCCTAAATACTTTATACACTTTTTAAATTGAGGTATGATTTATATATGTTAACTATATAAATCTTAAGTGAATAGCTCAATAAATGTTTTTATGTGTACATACCCATGCAACCACCATTCAATCAGGATATAGAAGGTTCCCTTGATATTCCCACCAAAGGTAACCACTACCTTAGTTCTAACACCATAGAAATGACACAGTTTTGCCTTGTTTCTCTACACTTTATATAAATATACGTATTTCACACAGTATGCTCTAAGATGTTGTCTTGGGTACAACATTCTTTTCACTGTTGTATAAAATTTATTAAACCAGTCTACTATTGATGGACATTTGGATGATTTTCAGCTTTTGGGTATTATGAATAAAATGGATATGAACACTCATATTTATTTATATTTATTTTAGTTATTTTTTGGTGAATAAAAGGGCTTTTTTTTCCCCCCAGTAGTCTCCATACCCAACATGGGGCCTGAACTCATGACTCTGAGACCAAGAGTCATGTGCTCTACCAACTGAGCCAGCCAGCTTTATTTTTGATGGCCATTCTATGCAGGAGTGGAATTGATAGGTTTTAGGTAACATGCATATACAGCTTTAGACACCTTTAATAGATCTTGCCAAGCACCTTTACAAAGTGCTAGTTCCAGTTTATTATTATACTCCCATTAGCAATGTATGACAATTTGAATTGCATCACATCCACACTAACACTTGGCATTGTCATTCCTTTTAATTTTGTGGTTATCGGGTATAGTGGTATCTCACTGCCAGGAAGTGGGAAGGATCTGGTATTTTACTCTACTTCTAACAAGCCGGGATGGTGGAAGACATGAGACATCTAGATCAGAGATGAAAGACGTTTCATTACTCAGAAGAACAGCAAAAGCCAGAGTATCAACAATGGAGCCGCTCTTCTAAGGCAGAATTCCCACAGGCAGTACAAAGAGCTGGGTGATACGAGCAGATGCAGATGGGTGCGCTGTAAGAGAGGCACACTGTGCCTACAAATTACTTTGTGTTTTCCAGGAATTTATAAGTGGAATCATATAGTATATTCTCCTTTTTACCTGACTTCTTTCACTCAGTGTAACTATTTTGAGATTTGTATGTGTTGCTGCAGTATCAACAGTTCATTTCTTTTTACTGCTAGGTAGTGCCCATTGTAGGATATGCTCTAATTTCTTTATCCATCCAACTGTTGGTGGCCATTTGGGATGGTCACAATTTTTGGCTATTAACAAATAAAGCTGTACATCTTTGTAAGAACATATACGTTCATTTCCCCTCTATAAATCCAACTGATTTTTTGACCTCACATGTCTCTTACATATATTATAATCATATTTAGGTATATATTATGTATTATATATAGAATCTCAATATTATATGTATTATATATATATATTTAAATATTTTATTTATTTGAAAGAGAGATAGCAACAGAGATAGTGAGAGAGAGCTTGAGCGGGAAGGAGAGGGAGAAGCAGACTCTCCGCTGAGCAGGGAGCCCGATGTGGGGCTCAATCCCAGGACCCTGAGATCGTGACCCAAGCCGAAGGCAGACACTCAACCAACTGAGCCACTCAGGCACCCCTAATATATATATTTTAAAGACTCGTAAGTAATATTAACCTTTGGAGAGGGGTACTAGATGGAGAGGGGAGTGGCTCTTTCTTTTGTATTTTTTGTTTGAATTTGAATTTTTATTTGATTTATATATATTTATTATGTAACATATATGAATCTTTAATTTCTAGAATGTGTCAGCAGGAACCACTGGGCAAGGAAATTATGTCTCATTTTTGTTTTGTTTTCTTCTTTGTATTTCTCTGTATTTAAAAAAAAATCTAATAAATGCTATTTTTTAAGGCAAAAAAGAAAATCTCCCAAGCCATTTTCTCAATTCTACTGATACCTGGTGATTCACTCCCTATAATTGTGCATAATACCAGAAGCTTTTGATGAACTATTTTCTCTAACTCCAGGCTCTCCTCCTTCAGTCCATCCTACAGGGATGGGTTTATATCCATTTTTCTAAACTGCAAATTTGATTATACAGCTCCTGTTTATACTAACAACAAAATAAACCCAATACTTATCATCAGAGCACATAAGGTCCTTGCTATCACCTGCAACATCATTTTCTACTATTCCTTCATTGTACCCCAGGTGCTGGTCATGCTAAAATGTCAATGATCTGCCAAGTTCCTTAACTTCTTGGTGCCTCCTTCCTCTTTTTTCTGTCCTCCTTGTGACTTCTCACTCATCCCTCTCTGTGATGTCTTCTATTCCTCTCTACCCTCCCCTCTTAAAAGATTAATTAATTAATTAATTTGAGAGAGAAAGAGAGCATGAGCTAGGGGGAAGGGCAGAGAGAGAGGGAGAAGCAGACTCCCTGATGAGCAGGGAGCCTGATGTAGGGCTTGATCCAAGGACCCTGCGATCATGACCTGAGCAGAAGGCAGATGCTTGACTGACTGAGCCACCCAGGCGCCCCTACCCTCTTCCTTTGCGCTCAGATGCTTCCGTCCTCTGTGTTTCTATGGTACTTTATAAATTACTGTATTATAGCAGTCATCACATTGTAGCTGACAATTTTACAAAAACAGCAATGGATGTCAATTAGAATTCCATCCTGTAATTCTCTGTAAAATTCTTATTTTAATATTTGCTGAAGTCAGTGTCCCAAAGAATATGCAAAACCTTACTGAAGTCTAAGTGTAACCACAAATATATTGATGCCTACGAGGGGTAGAGTTGCTAAATGGCAGTTAGCAAAAAATATACCATGAGAAGTAGTTTAGAAGCCCCCAAAATTCAGACTGGATGACAATTCCCTGAAGGTTGACCAATTTAGAAGATTTTATTAAGTAACTAGAATATTAGCTCTTACAAGATAAAATTCTAAATAAATCAAGTCTTACAATCCATGTAAAAGAAAGAAGGTACTCTTCACCTGATAAAATGTTGCTTGCTTTGTTAAGTTTTTTAAAAAACATTTCAACTGGCATTTTTTACCTGGTGATTAAAATACCTGGTATAGAAAGCTGGGTTCTATTCTTTGTGATAGAGCTATACAGTCAGTTTCTTCTATATGTATTAGAGAAGTAACTGGTAACTCATTGATAATTCTGACAGTTGCCTTGTGCTAATTTCTAGAAAGTCATAGTGTTAGAAAACTTTACAGAAAGTGAGGGAAGGATATTATTTGGCCAATTAGTCCTGGACAACTCTTTGTACAACCTAAGGTTAGTATCTGCATAAGGTAAAATAATGAATCACAGATATTTATGCTCAAGAAGGGCAAAGTGCTTTATAATTTCTCCAGTAAACTAAAAAGAGGACAAGAGAAGCTTATACTTCTGACTCCTACTAAGTGCTCAGTGTCCTTCTACAATAATAGAGACAGAATTTTTTTTTAAGATTTTATTTATTTATTTGACAGAGAGAGACACAGTGAGAGAGGGAACACAAGCAGGGGGGAGAGGGAGAAGCAGGCTTCCTGCCGAGCAGGGAGCCTGATGTGGGGCTCGATCCCAGGACCCTGGGATCATGACCTGAGCTGAAGGCAGACGCTTAACAACTGAGCCACCCAGGTGCCCCTAGAGACAGAATTTTCTTAGAAATCACTGCAGCTTAGTTAAGAAGTAAAGTGGGATGTACCATTAAGGCTGGTAGCTATATTTCCTCAATTTTATGCAGGCAAGGATTTAAATGTTTCTCCTCTGGAAAGACTGAATTTGCTTAACGGTTTCTAAGTTAGAGCATTCTAGGATTCTAATATGACATCATTAGTGGGGATCAACATATTCCAAAGAACCTATGAGAGAAAAGTTTCTGTCACTATTTAAAGTGAATAATCTTGAAAAATTAATACTAAAATAGCCTACAGTTACTGACCTTCCAGATGAGCCATCACCACATAATCGCATGTGATGACTGATGCTGATGGTCTCCCAGAGGATGGAACAAAGAGTAATGTTTTAGAAAAGGTACAAAAAGGCAAGAAGCATCACACTATCATCTTTATAAAATAAATCATTACACCTGGGAAATAAGAGCTCCTAACTACAATAAGTATTTTATTACCCTGTGTCAGCAAGATAAACCTTTCAGGCATTCATCAGGCAAATAAGAAAGACAAACATAACTATGATATCATAGTAGGTACAAAGTCTAGATGATGTTGCATTTTGAAAATGCCAAAATGCCGACTATTCTGCAAAAGCTCCTGGTCTGAATTATTAAGTAGCAACTTAGCTATGTAAACAATATCCTTTGACATCAATTCTGAACAGCTGCTAAAGGATAATGACTCCATACTCCCTTTATGACTGCAATTGCTAGGAGTGTTTGAGTTATTCTTTAGCAATGTAGGTATCTGGTGATTCTTCTATGATAGGATGGCCAGGGTATTGTGAAAATATTGAGCTCTTGGACTAGGAAGTTGAATTCTTGCCTGCCTGCCACTCCCTCAAACTATGGACAATGATTTCTGATAATACAACTTCTACTGAAATACACATCAATTTAATGATGTTTTTTAAAACTAACATTTTTCAAAACCTCAAATTGAAATCCTTTCAAAGACACTGGATGTGAAAAAAATACATTTAGAAATTCAATAATATACCTTATAGGTTTTACTTCTCATTTTATGTATGCTGTTACACATTTTGGGAGCAGAACTAAACAACCACTTGAATATGAGCCTTTCCCCAGGTTCAAAAAGATATACACATGCATATTATCCAAACACAAAAGAACAGCTTAGTCAAAGAAGATGAATGGAAAATTCTATTAAAGCAGAATTTACTTTCATTTCAGTATATACATCAGAAAAATGGTCAATTTTTAGAAAGATCTTACCTGCTACTGAATTTGGCCGTGGCATAAGATATAGAGGAATAGACTGTACTGATTGCGATAAAACTGTTTCCAAATTCCTTTCTGGGATCTTATTCAGACTATAGGTGGAAGCTGTCATGTTTTCATCTACTCGATACAAACAGGAATCCATGCTGGATTTTTGAGACTGCCAAGGTTTTAGGTTTCCTCCAGATCCTAATTCTTTACTGCTTTCCCCAACATATTTTGTGCGTTCTACATTTTCAGAATAGCTTGTCAACGTAGCTGAAAAAGAGAGTAAAACAAGTTAAAAATTAAAGGGGGCACGTACTGAATGGAGTACTGGGTACTATAAGCAAACAATGAATCATGGAACACTATATGAAAAACTAATGATGTAATGTATGGTGATTAACATAACATAATAAAATAAAATAAAATAAAATAAAATAAAATAAACCCCCCACACACACAAACAAAACAAAACCCCACAAACCGAGAGATTAAGCTGTTTACTACTATCCAAATTCATGACTAGCTAATAAGAGTAGTAGCGATACTATTTTTAAAAAAGTTACTGATCATTTCATCTCCACCATGAAGTTTAAATAACTGAAAGCACAATATATCTTACATATTTTCTCTCACTTCTCTTATATATTTAACAACTCTATTTATTTATTTTTTTTTTTATAAATTTTTTTTTTAAAGATTTTATTTATTTATTTGAGAGAGAGAGAATGAGAGATAGCATGAGAGGGAAGAGGGTCAGAGGGAGAAGCAGACTCCCCGCTGAGCAGGGAGCCCGATGTGGGACTCGATCCCGGGACTCCAGGATCATGACCTGAGCCGAAGGCAGTCGCTTAACCAACTGAGCCACCCAGGCGCCCCAACAACTCTATTTAAATGGAACTGAACACATTCATACATCACTGCTAAAAGATCTACAACTAGAGCCTATCAATGCTAAAAATTTCAGAATTTTGTCAAAAAGGGAATTTATATAATTTTCATGGATTGCTGAAGAGCCCCAAAATCTCAAAAAGATCTTTACACTCTTTTTATCCCATATTTTCCCTCATTTAAATTTATTTCCTGACCCCTTATATGTAATTAAGAATTAGAAAAAACAAATGGTCCCTTAAGTAGATATATAGGATATATTGCAGAAATAATCTGTCCAAATATAGGGCCTCCTTGTACAGCTACCCTGTAGCTCTAACCCTAGATGTCCCTGAATGAAATCAAGCAAAACCTGAAAGGGCTTCTAGAATTTTTCTAGTCTTACCACTAATTATTAACAGGACTTAAAAACAAAAATTTTCATCAACTCTAGGAATGTAAGGAATAAAAACATTAAAATAAAGATTATAAAAATCTTAGCAATAATTATAAGAATAAAGTTTTTAATATGTTAGTTCATATTTTCTTCTTACATCTTCAATGTACCTGTTGTTAAAAGAAGAGACCTAAGTTTATTAGGTAATTTCCACAATCCCTTTTAGTGAGGTTTTCTCTTTGGAAATGTAAACAGAATTCTGGACTTTGTAGTAACAGGGAAAAATATGAGTTACAAAGGAAGACACCCTGGTTGCCTTCCAGCTTTGCTGCTCTTTACAGTAATAAGTCCTCCTTGCATCTGAGAATTAAGTGTTGTCAACTGGTCTCTGTATCCTCACTGATACTAAGGGAGTCCAGTTCCAAGGCAACAACTTCTTGTCAATTCCATCGGGGAGGGCAGTCACCATTAGGCTTCTCAAAGATGACAATGCTCCCTACCCCTACCTACTCGTGACACATCCCCCCCTCTTTTTAAAAGATTTGAGAGAGAGAGCGAGAGTGTGTGTGTGTACAGGGGGGAAGGGCAGAGAGAGAGGGAGACTCCTCAAGCAGAATCCCTGCTGAGCATGGAGCCCAACATGGGGCTTGATCCTAGGACACTGATATCATGACCTGAGTTGAAATCAAGAGTTGACGCTCAACTGACTGAGCCACCCAGGAGCCCTGACACATCCTTTTTACATATTGTCCCTGTTATCTTTTTTATATATTGCTGGATTCAATGTTAGAATTTTGTTAAGGACTTTTATGTCTATGTTCATGAGAGACATTGGTCTGTAGTTTACTTTTTAAATAATGTCTTTGTCTAGTTTGGTCTTAAAATATTGTTGGCCTCATAAAGTGTTCTTGTCACTTCAACTTCCTGGAGCAGTTTGTGTAGAAATGGTATTATGTCTTCCTTAAATGTTTGGTAGAATTTACCTGTCAAGGCATCTGGACTAAGTTTTCCTTGTGGGAAAGTTTTAAATGCCAAATTCAATTTATATTTAACAGCTATAAAACTATTCAGGTTATCTTTTTCTTCTCAAATGACCTTTGGTCATATATTATTTCCAGGAATTTGTCAAATTTATTGGCATAAAGCTGTTCATGACATTCCCTTATCCTTTTAATGTTTGTGGGGTCTGTAGTGGTGTCCCTCTTCATTCCTGATATTGGTAATTTGTATCTTCTTTTTTTCCTGGTTAGTATGACTAGAGGTTTATCAATATGCTTTTCTCAAAGAACCAGCGTTCAGTTTCACTGATTTTCTCCGTTCCTGTTTCATTGATTTCTGCTCTTTATTATTTCCTACTTTGTTTACTTTGATTTGAATTTCTTTTTCATATTGTTTAAGCAGAAGTTTAGTTCACTAATTAAATAACTTCCTTTTCTAAAATAAGCATCTTAATGCTATAAATTTTCTTCTAAGCACTTCTTTAGCTGCATTCTAAAAATTTTGAAGTTTTGTTTTCGTTACCATTCAATTAAAAATATTTTTAAATTTCCACTGTGATTTTTTTGACCCATGTTATTTAGAAATGTGTTTAATTTCTAAGCATTTGTGAAATTTCCTGATATTTTTCTATTATTGGTTTCTAGTTTAAACACAGTGTGGTCAGAGAACACAGTTTGTAATGGTTTAGTCCATTTAGCTTTACTGAGACTTGTTTTATGAATCAGAATATGGTCTCCTGGTGCATCTTCTATGTATACCTAAAAAGAATGTGAACTATGCTACTGATAGGTGGACTGTTCTATAAAAAATAATTAGGTCCAGTTGATTAATGGAATTGTTTAGGTCTTTTACATGCTAATTGATTTCCTACTTGTTCTTTCAACCACTGAGAGATAAAAGTTAAAATCTCTGTGGATTTTTGCCATTTTGAAGCTTTGTTATTCGGTGCATAAACATTTAGGATTATTTCCTCTTGATGAAATGACCCGTTTACATTATGAAATGACCTTCCTTGATAGGTCATCACTGTTTATTCTGAAATCTATTTTGATATTCTTTGTTCTGAAATGGGTGAAAGAGGGAGATGATGAGCATACAGTATGGACTCCAGGACGCGCAGGAGCAGTAGGGACTTAATCTTCATTTACTAATCCTTTCCAAGTCTTTTTGGGAGACTGCAACTGGTCATCTCCTTGAAGAACTGGACTTGGATCTCCCCTCTCAGAAAAGAATTGAGAATCACAGTATCATGCTTCCAGGTGAGACTAGATGCCAAAAAAGAGTACTAATGATTGATCTATGTGGTACAAGAGTTGAACTGGATTTGCCACTCTAAATGTACTCACCTGCCTGTTGTCTGGCTACACTGACTCTAGCAGTGGTGTGGACTATTCCCATGGGTTGGAGCTGGGTCCGTGTTATTAACATCCTGCTCCAGACTGAAGGGTTGGCTATAATGGCTATTTCTGGTCCTTTGTGATAATCATGGGCAGAAGTCAACCATTGTCTTATGTACTGCCATATAGCCTCTCTCATCTATCTCTAGACTTCCTGGTTGCCATGGAGACATGAGATGCAGTAGGGCTACTAGATTCATGCAATAGTAAGAGTCGGAGAAATAGTACCCTATGAGGGCTAACATACCAATGTGAGAAGGGAACTGCAGTAATATCATCTTGTAATTCCCCCTTCCACAGTTCAGAAATGTACGGTTTCTCTGAAGACATTCAGTAGAATTAAGCAATCACCTCTGCCAGCTCTGTAATTCCCTTCCTTATATTTGCTTCTCCTCTTTTTTTGCCTTACTCCTCTTTCATTCACTCTTGTTTCCTTGGTTTATACTCCTTTAATATAGTATATACTCCCTCAATATAACCTTTTTGTCTCAGGCTCTATTTTCTAAGGAATCTATGCTAAGGAAGTCTTGTTGATGAAAATGTTGGGAACTATGGAATATTCTTCTAGCTAATCGAAATGTTCAAGTCATGTTTCAGTATACAGTCAAAACTACTCACTTTAGTTAAAAATTCATTTCATATATTCAGACTTTCAGTCATGAATAGCCCAATAGTTCCTAACCTTTTTGCCATTAAACATAATGCTGTACCTTCCCCAATGAGATTATTATGGATTCCATAGCATTATTTTATAATTTCTAAATGTGTTCAGTGATAGCATATTTATATTATGTGTGTATGTACCTGTGTGTGTTTTTTTAAAGCAGATGTATGCTCCTTATCCTAATTTCTGAAAATTATCTAATTTAAAATATATTTAAACTTTTTTCCCAGTAAAATTTGGTAAATATTCAGTAAAAACTGGAAAATAATATTTCATTTGGTGTAAAGATGTGGTGATTCAGCTGGCTTTGTAATTCTTTGCAAGAAGCTTGGAGTTCATACAGCTGAATCAAGCCAGAGAATGGAAACTCTTCTTTCCCGGAGGACTTGTCTACATGTAAAATGTCTGCTATTTAACCTCTTACCTTTTTGTTTTTTTATGTTGTGTCCTACAGAAGTTTTCATTATTAAGTCCTTAATCAAATTTGGCTAAGATTTACCTGTATCTGTGTGGTCTTTGCCTGGTATATATCCCAGAAATACAACCCTTTTCTCCTGATAAATCAGGAGCATATTCAGTATATTGGAATACTACACTTTTACAGGTCTGAGAAAGTAGCAATGGGGTTCACTATTTTCAGTATTTCAAGTAATTTATAAATAATATGTAGCTAGTTAAAACTGGTAGCTAGTTAAAACATCAAACTTCTGTAAACATAGCTAGAATTATATCAAGGGTGATAACAGTAGTTACCTCATTTAAACAGAAGCTTTGGCAGAGATGCATGTTTGATAAATTAAACATGAGAAATTGCTATAATAACAAATAGAGTGATGTTGAAAAATTTTTCAAAACTATGGGATCTATCAAGAAAAATTATGAAAGTCCTTATCAGTGGTGGAAAGATTAGAGAAATTGTGAGTTAATTTGTGGTACCCAAAGATGG